TATTTTCTACATTTACCTAACAGAGGACTCTGACCTAAGACTAGGAAAAATGTTTTTATATTTTATATGATTTCTGTAAGGAAAATGAATGGCAAACCAGCTCACCAATTGCATAATGAGAATTTTTTCAGCTCTTTAAACTTTTTCTTTAAACTGAATTGGGAAAACTTTGCAAGAAAACTCATGTTTTTACTCCTCTTTATTTTCTACATTTACCTAACAGAGGACTCTGACCTAAGACTAGGAAAAATGTTTTTTCAATGTCTACAAATCAAATATTTGTTCAATACACATACTTTATCCAGTGAAAATAATGTTCTCTAGAATATGATCAGTATTGCTGCAAAATTGTCCAATGCAGAGGTTATATGTCTCAGAAAGGAACATGGGCTACATTTTCTATAGGATCCTGTTTACAGTCAGAATACCCTGTAATATTTTGATTTAATTTATTGTAGCAGTGTGCAATGCTTTCACATACACACACACACAGATTTCCTGAAAAACTAACAAAATAGTCCAACTTTCCTACTCAGTAGGTCGATCTTCCATGAAATGATGACCAGTGGCATTTTGGAGGTGGAAAGATTTCAGCTACAGTCCTGAACTAATATTCTATGGAAACCATTGAATACTTTCTATGCCTTCACAGTTCTCCATGCAAATCCATTAAAATATATATAATATTGTTTTGTAGTTGCCAGTGACCAAGACTTACTCTTCTTTAATTATTTTGGGATCACTTGTTCAGAGAACAGAGACAGATAACTATGGAATTTGTCAGTTATATTAAAAATTGACATAAATACAAACACATAGGATTCAGACAGCTGAGGAACCGATTCCTCCCCACACACATAGGAAAAGGAATCACTGCAGCAATTTTCCCTCCCAGCCACTGGGGTGAAAGGATGTTTCCAACCAGGACCCCTTACTTTCAGATATTCTATATGTAATTCAATATATCACCCATCTGGCACTAAGGATTTGGCAGCATCTGTGCTCCCATTGCTCTCAGCTCACTTTTTGAGCTGGCACTGCTTCCAGCTGAGCAGCAATACCTGTAACACACTCCCATGCAGAATGCTCATGTAATGTGAACTGCCTGACAAAGGTGGATGAGAACAGTGCTGCTGCACAGATGCAGAGATTAGAAATCCAGAGATGAAAATAAATGCATTTCTTTTTCTGCAGTTTGTCCCCAAAGAGAAAAATGAGCCAAATGGCTTGAAACCCAAACATTAATTCCCCTTGAAACCTCATTCCATTCTAAGCATTTTTCCTGAATTGCCAGAGTAATTTTCTTCCTCTGCTCCCATCCCAAACATCTCTTAGTCAAATATGATTTTGCTATTATTACTGCTTGTATTACAGGAGGACTAAGTCACAGTTCATGACCTTCATATAAGCCAATGTCAGTTAAGCACTGAAAATCAATGTTAGATTCTGCCTTTTGGGACTGAGTCCACAGAGTCTAGAGACAGAAATAGATAAGTAAAGCATAATTCTTTGTTTCAGGACTGTTTCTGGTCACTTATGAGGACCAGGGTTTATCTTTTTTTCTCCCTCTCCTTTACATAGTATTACTGTATTTATTAATTGGTCTTCTTCTGTATATGATTATTTTCTTCTAGATACAGTTGCAATTTTTGCATCAGAAAGGAGTTTTTCCCCAAAATTAGGGGCTGCTGAAGGCATGTCAGGGCAGTTTACTTCCATCCAAATGCCAGGACCAAGAATGATGGCAATGTGATTAGTCTCTGCTTTGTCTCTGGGACATACAGTAGTTTTCCCAGAGTTTGCCTTCAATCTGCTAAAGCTCTTCATTTATGCCATGGCATTAAAATATGTTTTGTGAGTTTTGGAGTGTGCCCAGCATGAAATGGGTGTTCAAAGATACCTCTGAGTGAAAGTGCAAGAGCAGAGCTACTTGGATTTCCTTGGCTGAGCTCAACCCAAGGGACATCATGCAGCAAGGCTTGGCTCTCAATGTAAGAGATCCAACCTCGTGTGAGATTTGTGCTCAGCATATAAACCCTTCTGCACAAGCCCTGACTGAAGAAATGTACAACAAGGCATTCCAGCTTTGTCTGTATATCCCATAGGGGCTCCAGCTATGCATTCAATGTGATATCAGAATATCAAGAGCACAATCAGATACTTGTATAAAAAATGCAGTGGGGTGTGGGATAGAAGTGAACACTCCTAAACAACCTGGAAGTTGTATCTTACAGGGAACACTGTCTGAGAATGAATATTAGCCATCAATGCAAACAATAATTAAACTATGGAACCTCACATGCTGTCAGTTTGGCATGAAAACATTAAGATCTGAAAGAAAAATGAGCTTTCTACCCCATTATTGGAGTCAACATTGCAGCAAAATCGAGCAAACAAGACTGCTTTGAGAAGCAGAAATTAACCATAGTGGATCATAAAATAACTACCTTAACAAACATAACAAAACTGTAAATATAATAAAAAAAAAGATGCAATGTGAGGGTTTGATGTGTGGATCAATAAAACGCTTTAGAAATGCCCTAGGAACAATGATGATGTTCCATTTGCCAATTAAATCTATTCAAATCTGAGCTGCTGTAGCTCAAAATCATTCTTACATGATCTAAATCATAATAAATAGCGTTAGCTGAGATATTTAAAGCATTAAAACAGCAATTTTATAAAAAAAACCCCAGCACTATATCACAATATTTTGTTAGGAAGAAGAATTTAGTATTTATGGAGGTGAAATAAATGCAACAAGACAAAAGAGCACAAAGGAGAAATACTGATGACATTTATGGATGTGCATTGAGAGTTGCAAGGCAAATGTAGGGAGATTTATTTGGCCTTGATTAAGAGTCACAGAGGAAACAGAATCACTAAAATAGCCATGCAATAAATACATGGTCCTACTTTGAATATGTATTCAAGAAAATGGATAAAATAACCATTTCTTACAAGAATCACCATTTAACTCTAATCTGTTCTACCTTTAAATCCTGATTTTTTTTTTTTTTGAAAGGGGAAATTGTTCTATTTTTGAGGAGGACTGTCGTGGTTTAACCCCCACAGGCTGTTCCTACAAACCATAGTTCAGAGAGAGAATTGACTCACAAGTAACACTGGAATTATTTCATCATCTGCTCCTTGGTATAACTAAATATTCACTGGTATTTGTGTGTCTAAATACAGGCAAGATTTTAATCTAGAGGAGCATATCTCAGTTCATACAGTTACATTTTCCTTTCTGTTCTAGAAGGACCAGACTCAAGGAAACAGTCAGACATTTAGTGAAACAGTTTTTAAAAAACAAAGTAAAGGCTACAAACAAACCAAACAGTCCTTTCTTCCCCCTTACAAGCAAATAGGGATTTTCTCCATGAACAGTTACACCTTACTGATCTTTAAAAATTGCTAACAGGAAAATCTAACTCTTAAAAAGAGTTTGTAAAAATCACGAGCAAAGCTTCTCAGTCCCAAACTCTTCTCATTAATGAATAAAGCAAAAAAAAAAAAAGCAAATGAAAGCCAAGATACCATTGAGGTTTATGTGAACATATGGAGGTATTAAATTGTAAGGAAATGAACTTCTGAAGTAGAAAGTTACACAGAAAGAAATTAAGAGTAGAGACAGGATTTAGGCCAAAATAGTCCCCAGAGAGCAACACAAACACCTGCAGCAGTCAGACCCTGCAGATGCACTGGCCATGCTGCCAAGCAAAGCCCAAAGAAATGTGCTGCACAGCCAGCTAGGTGGCTTTAATCTGAGCTGGAGCTCACAGGGAACACAATGAGGATAACAGATCTAGAGCTATTCAACAAAGCTTGCTTATCATGCCCTTTATTATTTGGCAAATACAGGGGCCATAGACTCAGTTTCACTCAAAAAAAATATTTGTTTCAGGCTGTAATTCTAAATCCAGAGTGTGGAACACAGTGTCTTTGAGCAGGATTTTCATCTCGAATCTTTAGCTCAAGGTCTGTTTCTCACTAACTTATGGCTCTGCACCAGTTTCTGAGGAACACAGGCTGTGGTTAAAGGTTTCTGTCAAATCAGTTCCACATCAGATACTGTGATGTCATATGTTAAGACATCTCCAGGATTTGTCTTTGCATTACATAGCTTTGGATAAAGTGGTCACTCATTGCTATTGGCTTCATTCCTTTGCAAGGTTCCACTGGAAGGAAAATGGGAGGAAGAAAGAATTAATTCCACAATAAAGGAATGAATTAACAATAAAAAAATATCATAATGCAAGAGAAATGTTTTCCTCCTACAAGGGGCAGATATTACTTGGATCAAATCAAAATTCAGTCAAAGCAGTGGAATTTTGAAATTGAATCACCACTTAACACATTTATTTAGCTTTTGTAATGTGTTTTATTTGAAGAAATTCCTAGGACACTGTGGAATTAAAATGAGCAATGAGTAACCTCTAAAAATGCTGCAGAAAGAATGATCTGTTTATCATGGATATGTGTTTCCAGATTGATTAACTCTTGTGTCTGAGGAAATCCCACATGTGTTGGAAAATTTTCCAGCTGCTTTTGGCATTTATTAAAGTGCTTTATAAGGAGTGACTTTCTTGCAATTAAAGCACTAATTAGAATCTCTGTTTTACTTGGCCACCTGTTCTAGCAAAACACTAACTTTGTTTTCAGAGGGTGGAGAATCCAGTTGGATTTGGTCGAAATAAATGTGAAAATTACAGGAAAGTAGAGGTTTAAAGGGAGAGTAAGATCTATATCTGTGATTGCATAAGGTGTACTTCCTTAGGAAATGATGCTAATTAGATATACATACACAAATGTTTGTTCTGAGTCTTATCAGAGAGGTTGTTACACTAGATGGAAGTAGACACTAATCCAGTCCATCGGTTAGTATATTCCCTACAAAAAGAACACACGTGGGGAACATATATATTGATGAGCAATTGACTGAGCCAATTGGAACAACACTGAAGTTACTTCTTTCCCTTTTTTTCCCCCCTTTGCAGAGTATTTGGTGCTGCTATACTGCTGACATCCTCCCTCAACATGCTAATACCATCTGCAGCCAGGGTGCACTATGGATGTGTCATCTTCGTTAGGATCCTGCAGGGCCTTGTAGAGGTATGGAAAAATTATACAATAACTAGCAAAGCTCATAGATATTTGTTAGCCTTTAACTAGCAATTGTAGCTGTGGGAGGTAAATAAAATTTGTTTTCAATTGATGACTGATTTTGAGCATAAAGGATTTCAATGGATGATTACAGCTCTTTGATTTGCTTTCATCTATAAAGTTACATGGTAAAGTTTTATGTTGTTAAGAAGATAATGGGATATGTATTTAGCACTGAAAATTCACTAAATCCTTATACTGCATGAGGATTATACTGCTGTTATTCTCAACTGTCAGTTGCTGACCAGCCTCAATGAATAAATCTAGAATAAAAAACTAAGCTTCTGCCATCAGTCCTGGCCATGTTTTGTTGAAACGAATGAGAGATTTACCATAATTTAAGAGAGAAAAAAAATGAGTCTGCCTTCTAAATTTATTTGTTTCTTTATCTCTTTTTGAAGAGACTAATTTTGAGTCCTGTGGTGGCTGGTTCTTTGTTTCTCAGGCCTACATAATTCTGCTTTTAACTCATGCACTATGTTGAATAAAAAGACTCCAAAAGAGGGTGCAGAATGTGCCTGAAAGTTAGGTGACTGTCAGTCAAGTTCCTGAAGTATATAAGTCTGGATGAACTCCTGACAAGTGACCTTCATGTGCAGAGGTTTTGCTTGACTGCAGAGATGAGAGGAAGGAAGCAAGTGGGTGACTACAAAATAAAATGGCTATTTTATACCCACACATTTCTCTGATAACATTCAAAGGAATTGTGAATGCAGAACATTCCAAACATGACCACTGGATAAAAGTTCATGATAAAATGACAATCTTCAGATTACATCTTTAAATATTGTTTGAAAAATGGATTAAAAACTCCAATGGCATGAAATTGGTAAGAGGATCTTTCAAAACAGAAGAAGGTATTTTACCACTTTATGCACATTGAGGCTGATAATCTCAACATTTATGATACCCTCAATGCTTACAAAAAGTTCTTATTTTATTTTTTACTGTTTGCATAGGAAACAAAATATCAGATTAAGAGAAAAGTTGTGAGTTGAGACTGGATGTGGCACTTAGTGCCATGGGCTAGTGACCACAGTAGGGTTGGACTTGATGATCTTTGAGGTCTTTTCCAACCTGGTTGATTCTACGAATACATCATAATAATTCTTAGTCAAAAATTTCATAGACAATTATTGTACATTTCACATTACATTTTCTAAAATTTCAACACTGCAGGTATAGTTGTTCTATAGCTAAATTAAAGTTGGTTTTGAAGAGACACATAGAAAGTAGCTGGTTTCAAATCAAATCAAGAAATATCATTCAGTGATTTGCTTTACATGCTCAAGAAAGTTCATTTGAGACAAAGAAAGTGAAAAACTTCTCTCTTAAAATATTTCTAAGCTCTTATTGATCTTATTTTCTAGTTTTATAGCAGTGCAACTTTAATCTGTAAATTATACTTTAAATGTTAGATCAAAAAAATTTAGAAGGCCACCAAAAATGAGGGTTGGAGAAATCAGCCCTAGAAAGACTCTGCAGGGTCTGTGTTTTCATACTTCCTTTGACTCTGGTTCTTGTGCATTAAGATTCATTTTAATTCTTTGCAATTCTTTCCTGGAAGGGGAGGGGAAGCAAAAGGAATAAAATTTTAGCTCTGTTTCATAAGTCTTCTTGAATGACTTTCGAAACCCATTTCGACTTGAGTAGAAATTGAAGCTTTTCTGTGGCTGTGCCCAAACTTTGCTACAGAAATGCAAAGCGTTCTCAACTTCTTGTTCATAGTGATTGCAAATAAAAACTCATGCAAAGACAATGAACTGAGTGACTGATCAGCATTAGCTAACTTGTGGCACACCCATTCCCCAGGGGGTCACCTACCCTGCCTGCCATGGTATTTGGAGCAAGTGGGCCCCCCCATTAGAAAGAAGTAGGTTAGCAACCACTTCCTTTTGTGGTAAGTAACTTTCTCTTTTTTTGTCTTTCTTTCATTTGTAATAGAAAAGTGTTTGGAAATGGAATTTTTTCCTCCCTTTTCATCCACATGTGTCTTGTTTTGTAGGTTCCTATGCAGGAGCTGTCATTGCAATGCCTTTAGCTGGGATTCTAGTGCAATATACTGGGTGGTCTTCTGTGTTCTATGTGTATGGTATGAGTTTTTGCTCGTTTCACTCCAGTATTCTATGACCTTACTTTACTCTTTCTAAAAATGTAATAAAAGCTACTGTTAAGAGACCAAAAAGACCCAGAGAAGTGGGACTATAAAGCTAAAAATACAGTCTAGAGAAAAGAACAATGCAAGAACAGAATTTAAGGGAAAAGTAGGAAAGCATCATTATTAAATAAGAAGAGGAGAGAGTGCTTTCAGTACAAGCTAATGCAGATGTATATTGCTCTTACATTTATAAAACTGTAAATTTAGAGTATCTGCCTTGAATAAGTTGTCCTGATTTTTATCTGAAGACCTACATATCTTCATTCACACCAGTTGTGCGACCTTAACTTACACTGATGGAAAAGAATGTCCCAGAGGAGTTCATTCTGCAGTGTAAATTTGATGTGGATTAGGGGGAAATCTTATAGAAATTAAACAAACTGGTCAGGAAGTGAATTGCTATGTCAAAAATTTTGAATTTTGCAGGTAAAAAATTTAGTGCAGGAATCAGATAACAGTGTCTTAAAGCAGAATGGAGCTTCATTTACAGTTTGGTAAAATGAAATGGAAGCTGTTTCATTGCATTGTGTTGTACAAATTGATGTTAAGATCAGTGACATTCCCTTACAGTGAAACCATTCTGTAAATGAAGCACAGAATTCTGTGTTCCAGCTCTGCAAATATTTTGCATAAATATTGTTTACAGGATCCAACTCTGTGTTAGAATAGCTGGACAGAGAAGCACTAACAACAATTGACATTTGAATCTGCTACAATTTTTCACAGATTTTTTTTTTCCTTGCTTGCTGCTTTTACTGTGCATTTCTTTTTAAAGTGTTTCTTTCCATCCCAAAGGGAGCTTTGGTATAGTCTGGTACATGTTTTGGCTTTTGGTTTCCTATGAGAGTCCTGCAAAGCATCCAACGATCACAGATGAAGAAAGGAGATACATAGAAGAAAGCATTGGAGAGAGTGCCAACCTCCTAGGTGCAATGGAAGTAAGAATGTTACTCACACTCAGGTTTCCTAGGGGATACCAATAAAAACAAACAGCATTCCCCACAAAGAAAGGCACCAACAAAACATCAACCAAATTTCTTTAGAGCAGCGAAGCAGATTTTGAACCGTTGCATTTTTTTGGGGGTGGGAAGATCTAAAATCTTGGATTTCTGGGTGGATATTGCTTCTGCACTAAGAGAACACAGGTTCCTGTTCTTCAGGTAGAAAATGCATGGAATTGATGCCTCTTTTTCTACTCCAAAGTATAAAAAAAAGAAGTACAGCTACATTTGAAATTGCAGCCTTATTTAGACTTTTACAGTACCTTGAGTTCAAGTTAATTTCCTTCCTATATAGTAATCTTTGGAAAGTTTTTCTCTTCCTAAAAGTAAACTGGAGGAAAAACACAACTCAGTGTCTCTGGAGGTCCCCAGAAGATCAGAAAATTCAAATCCTGACTATGCTATGTTTTGTTTGCCCATCATTGTGGCAATTTTGCTGGAAACATGCTATAAAACCTCTCATAATCTTAGTTCTTTACTGCTTTAGTTCTCAAGAACTGCTAAATAACTAGCTGTGAACTCAGAGAATTTTCCACCCACTTAACACTCGTATTATGCTAAATAATAATTTCCTTATTTTCTCTGACTGCTAAAAAGCTTTAAAGAAACTATTGCCATGTTTATTCACACAAGAAAACAAGAAAAATTGTTTAAGCCTCAGTTCATCTGCTCAAATTTTTACACCATTCATTCCCAGGAGATCTCCATGACCAATCTTCATTATGTTTTCTACTAGATCAGAACATTGGTTCTTGACTGAACTCAGGAATAAATGGGTTTGTCTTAGTAAAAAACCTTTGTTCCAGATTAAATAAGGAAATTAAAATATCACAGAGCAGTTTGTGATAGGTATTTCTGAGGGATTGTCTGAGTTGATACTCAATAACATTCAGTAGTTTTCATGGTTTTGAAAATTTGATGTGAAATGAGCTACTTCAAAGGGTTTCCATACAATTCCAATTTGGGCTGTATAATTTATGTCTATTTTTTTATTGTTGCTTTTTAATGAAACAATTTTTTTTGAAGTGATTCGCTTGTATCAATGATTCAGTTGCTTCTAAAATATTGAAGCCAAAATTCTTCCCATAGCACCAAGTTAGATTTTCTGGCTGGATTCTCATTAATTAAGTTACACTTATTCCTTAGCTCTCACTTCAGTGTAATTTAATAGGTATATAAGGTGTTGCATATATCCATCCATGGGCTGATTTTCTTTGAAGAAAAGCCAGTGTTCAAACCAATAGTAGACTAAATCCAGCCTGAATCCTTGCTGAAGTGATTTTCAAGCACTTATCTGGGCCTGGATCCTGTATTGGGATCAACACAGATGGGCAGAACCTTTGGCTCATGGAGAGGTGCTGAGACTCAGCAGGATTGTAGTTCTGTCCATCTGTCTTTTTATTTTTTTTTTCATTATGCAATTGACTTTTAAAATCCAATGGAACAAACAAAAAAACTTATTGACCAAGCAGTTTCAGCTTGTACTTTATGATAACTGAAGTATCTGGAATTAAAGCTCTGCATATATGTGCTTGTTGGAGTGTAGGTAAAAAAATAAGTCAGAAAAGGAAAGTTGGATACTTGACAATGCTCAACATGGTAACTGGATCCCCCTTTTTCTATGTTTCAGAAATACAAAACTCCATGGAGAAAATTTTTTACATCTATGCCAGTCTATGCAATAATAGTTGCAAACTTTTGTAGAAGCTGGACTTTTTACTTGCTGCTCATCAGTCAGCCTGCTTACTTTGAGGAAGTGTTTGGGTTTGAAATAAGCAAGGTATGTAGAAAGAATGTCAAGCTTCTGCCTTAACTAAACAAATATCAGAGCTACATTTGGGGCAGTTAGGAGGAGGAGGAAAGATAAGTGTTCTGCATCTTTATCATGGATTTACATGGTTTAAATTTTACTCCTCCCAGTTCCATCCTTGATCAGCATGAATAAGTGAAGTAACAACCATGGCAAAGGATGGGGTAGGGGAAGGTGGAGGCAGGATGAGATTTAGGGATGATCTACTTGGGGCTACATTGCAAGTGCTCAAAACCAAATTGTATTAGAAAGGTATTGAGAGCCCCGTTACACTTCGGTCCCTGATGCCCAAGGGGCTGCAAAATCCTACTGAAACTGTAAAGAAAGCATTGACAAGTGAATTTTTCCAGGTGCATTTTACAAATCAGAGCTGCCCAGGTCTAGGAAGGATAGTACAACTTATCACCTTGCTAGATTCCCTTTTAATGCAGTGAGAACTTCCCCCCTTATTCACTTAGAAAGCAAAAGAAATGGTGGCAGAACAGGAGATACAGCCTGACATTGAAAAGAAACAATTAATTAGTTGCTGAATGCCTCAGAAAATGAATAATCAATGTTTTCTCGTGGTTTATACTCTGCTAATTCTAATTCTTATTTTAGGTGGGTATCTTGTCTGCTGTGCCACATTTAGTGATGACAATTATTGTTCCAATTGGGGGACAGATCGCAGACTTCCTAAGAACCAGGCAGATCCTTTCAACCACTAATGTGAGAAAGATAATGAACTGTGGAGGTGAGGCTTCTTGCTTGATTTAAAGGCTTCTTGGGCAGATTTGATGCCCATATTGTGTTCTGCATGGAAGAAACAAACAAATTGCAGTTTTATGTAGTTAGGAGACAATACTCTGTGCATTTTTGATGTGTTGCAGATGTTGTTACTAAACAAAAAGTGCAGTTGATCCTATTCCCAGGTTTGAAGTTTGGTATTTGTAAAAGCATTTAGACTGTTCAAGAAACAGGTGAGATTTGGGAGGGTAATTTGCCTGCCCTTAGCTCTTTACTCCATCTCAGCTCCTCATCTAAACACCCTCAGCACTAAGAGAGCTCAGATCACTACCTGAGGTTATGTCCCTGACCCCTGAGATGTTAAAGCTACATGAGCTGAATCCTAGCTGGAAAATTCATAAGCAGGTTAAAATGTTTATTCCCACAAGGCTTGGCTGGAATGACCTAACCACATCACAAGGATTTATTTTCACCTTAAAACTGACAGGAAGGAACAATAAATTAGCATACAAAGAGTAAAATAAAGATTATTTGAGTTAGAAAGAACATGTGGGGTTTAGGGGTGAAAGAATGACCTGATTATATTCCACTCTGAGGTAATGTTTTGCCTCTGTGTTCCTATGAAATATCACCACATCCTAAGGCCTGCAGTATTTGAGAGGGAATTAAATCTGATGCCTGGTTTTATTTATGATTTCCCCAGGTTTTGGCATGGAAGCAACTCTTCTTCTGGTGGTGGGATATTCACACAGCAAAGGAGTGGCTATTTCATTCTTAGTGCTTGCTGTAGGCTTTAGTGGATTTGCCATATCTGGTAAGATTATATTACTATTAAGACTAAATATATGTTAAGAGACAGAACATTTAACTCTCTTTTGATTCATGGATAGTAATTAAAAAAACCCACTCAGAATTTCATAGTACATTATTTAAGATCATTACAAAGTACATTCAGTATTACATCTTTTATATTAGATTATTTCTGTTCAAATACTTCAAACTTTTCCATATTCATTGCAGCAAATGAGTCTTTCTTTTCATTATGATGCTAATGGGTACTATAGATTTCTCTTGAAAACAAACACAGAAGACAAATGGACTCGTATTATACAATGATACCTAAATTTGCATGTCTTTGTTTATATGCAAGTGTTTTACTATTTACATTGTACATTGGTTAATGCTTTGTTAGTGTTGTATATAATTTTATTAATTTTGGGCCTAATTACTAGCAATTTTTTTTTTCTGAATCAAAATTCCTC